GAATTGTATTTTTCAAGTGGATTATCTGTGGAACTCTATCCTGCAATGTTTTAAAAGGTATACTTTATTTTTATTTTTTTTTCTGCCACTGCCTACTCCTAAAAGATACACTTAAAAAAAAAAGTTCCATGGGCAAATCAGTTGGGAAATTCTGAGTGTTTACTGTACTCCAGGACTTCTCCAAGCCTTTATTATAAATTTAAAGTCCAGGGAAAACAGCAAATGGATTGACTGGCCTTTCTAGGCCATCTCTTTATCTGTCCTTCCTCTTTCTAACTGTACCAAGCGAATAAATTAATAGAAAATAATACTTCCAGGATGTGAACTACATATGAGGATATAATTAGGTGCATCAAAAATGCCTGGACTTGAGACTCAGCATTTATCCTTTTTTTTTTTTTTTTTTTGGTTGGGGGAGGTAATTAGGCTTATTTATTTACTTATTCTTAGAGGAGGTTCTGGGGATTGAACCCAGGACCTCATGCATGCTAAGCATGTGCTCTACCACTTGAGCTATCCCCTCCCCATCCCCAAGACTCAGCATTTAAGAATGAGTTGTTTATATGTAGAAACAAATCTAAACAGGTTTTTTTTTTTAAATTAAACTTGAAAAAATACATTGGATAATAGTTACAGTAAAGAACATGCTATAAGAATAAGAGTAAAAACTGGCTCCCTTTGTTACCACCAACTCATAGAATATCCTACTGGTAAACAAGCAGCCGACGATGTAATCTCTTGACATAATTAACACTGGGTAAACCAAAATAGGTGTGATTCTTTAGTAGTCTGCCAAATATTTTTTCAGGTCTATTATAGCTACTGAGCAAATGGGTTGGCATGAATAGTTATGTCCTTAATGTGTACATCATTAAGAGGTCGATATGTCTTCTCATTGACTGGTAACTTCTCCAGTTCATCTAGAGTCTCCAAACCATCTATTACCCTGAAAGAAAAACAATATCATGTTTGAACATTTTTTCTGAGATTGAAACATAATATCCAGATACCTATAGCAATTATACTCTCCCTAAGAAAAAAGAACCATGCCTCATAGTTCTTTGAATTCCCTAGTTGAGTGTATGATAAAATGCTGTTTTGATTTTCTGCCATAGGTATGGGCCAACATTCTTATGCCTTTAGACAGCAATAGCAGTGGGCAGGAATATTTCCACTAATGTATCCAAACACTGTATTCTGCCTCATTCACACAAAATAGCTAAAAGTGGAGCCAATATAACCAGTCATAGGTTTTCTTTGCTATAGGAAATACCTAAAGAAAGTATGTAAGAATGACACCATCATCAGTTCTGCCCTACCCTGAAGGTCCTGAAGTAAGTGGCCACTTTGCACTTTATTGTTTAAATATGGTGTTTTATTTTTTGCTTCTGGACAACTAAAAGCAATCATTAAAATAGCAGAAAAGATAGTTAAGCCCACTTCCAGCAAGCTCATTTCTTGTTTTTGCAAGAAAAAACAGTATTGAGAGCTGTATTTCAAATATGTTCTTGAAAGTTAGTCTGAAACATTTGCCAAGAAAATGTGGCTTTTTAGATTGTACCTTTTAGTGCAATTCAAATCAATTGTCAAAACATAATGAACTTAAAAAAAAGGTAACAGCAGGGAAATGTATAGCTCAGTGGTAGAGTGCACATTTAGCATGCACAAGGTCCAGGGTTCAGACCCCAGTATCTCCATTAAAATGAATAAATAAATCTAATTACTGCACCCCAAAAAATAAATAAATAAAAATAAATTCTAAAAGAAGTATCAGATTTACATTTTATTTTACATTTCCACTAAAATGGTACTATAATCAAAAGCTTTTGATTTTACTCCCAAATGTAGGACAATTAAGGTCTTTAAATCGTTAAGTTTTAAAGGCTTTCCTACCTTCTAGATCAGTAACAGAAACAGAGGATACAGGAAACAAATCTCAGGCAAAAAAAAAAAAAAAAAGAAAGAAAAAAAAGGGCATGTAGCACTGAGGTAAGTCTAGTTAAGTATCTGGGACATGGGCCCCTTTGGGAACCAGTGGAAAGTGTCTATCATTTTCCCCAAAAAACTGTGTGTGCATTTACACAAAACACAATTTCAAGGAGTTACTAGACCGAAGGTTAACAATCCTTGTCCTAAAGTATAGTTTTGTTACAAATCATGTAAAATAAGTCCTGGTAATTACTGATCAGTAATTCTGAATGGTAGGTTAGGGAGAAAATAAAAGGAAAGGAATCTAGATTATCCATATACACACAAAAACTATTACAGGCTGTAAAATTCCTCTTTGTTGATTATTATTAATCTATAAATTAGACATGATATGGAAGGAGAAAGAAAGTTGCTGACTCTTGTATTTTTAAGTAACCTAGGTTGGCATCTGAACCATTGTTTTAGATAAAACAAACCCTAGAACTGTGCCTTGGTTTATGGAGTATAGTAAATATTTGTTGACAAACTGACTTTCTGTTGATTTATAAAAGCAATTCCCAGGTACAGTTCTTGTAATGGATATTCTGGCAGAGACTGCTGAACACCTCCCTAGGATCCAGTCTCCCCTTCTTTTTTTAATTATCATTTTTTAATCTTTATTTTTTTTATTTTGGGGTTTTTTTGGAGGGGAGTGATTAGGTTTATTTATATTTATTTTTAGAGCAGGTACTGGGGATTGAACCTAGGACCTTGTGCATACTAAGCATGCAGTCTACCACTTAAGCTATACCCTCCCTCCTTCCCTTATTCACAGAAGCCTGATTTTATTGAGTCCATCCCAGTCCATCTTTTTTAAGCCACTGTAATTCAGATCTGTTAGCTGCTGCAATATGCTATTCTTAATGAAAACAGATAAATTACTGCTAACTTGCATAATAACCCTGAAAAGAAGTACTGGCCCCTCTTTTACAAAATAAGGAAACTGATTCTGACAGAAATTTTAAGTTTCCCAAGGTCACAGGGCTAGACTTAGTGGTAGACTTAAAGAAAACCATCACTAGAATACTCACTTTCCGAACACAGTGTATTTCATGTCCAGATGTGGCTGCTTGCCATAGGTGATAAAGAACTGAGATCCATTGGTGTTTGGGCCATTATTAGCCATAGATACAACACCTCTAACATTGTGCTGAAAAAGAGACACCATACTATTAATTTAACTGTGTCTTTACGTAAGTATCCCAAAAATAGGACTAAAACAAGACATGTACTCTTTACTTTTCCAATATTTAAGGGATCAAGAAAACATTTAATCAGCTTCTATTAGGGCTAGTCCAAATATTCAGTTTCTGTATTATCTGTATCTCTGAAAACTTGTATGTAAATTGTTTATATATCAAATCATATTCCACAATTAATTTCATTTTCACTTTGGAAAAGTACAGCCACAAACACTTTTGGCAATAGCAGTATATGATAGAAATAATCCTTACATTTATATTAAGTAACAGTGTGCTGGCATGAGACAAATGATCAGGCAGACAACAAAACCAAAATCCCCATAATCTCTTCACACATACAGTGGACTCTGGATAGTTTCTTTATCTGTAAAACAAGGGAGTTTGGACTATTCAGGGGTTTATTCATAATTCAAATGCTCACAAGGCTCAGCAAATAATAAATTGATAAGTGGGCAGAATATAAACATGCCCAATTTTACCCATGCCCATGAATGTAAGAGAGTGGTGGGATCTGGCAAAAGGAATAATGTATCTCTTGCCTCATGACATTTACAATATTTTTGGAACCAATGGCCATAGAGAATGCATCTGTGGGTCTTCCACCCATAGGCAGTTAGTTCATAACCCCAGCACTGGATGATCTAAGGAAGGTCTCGTCGAGCTCTAACATTCATTATATAAGGGACTATGTACACTTTACTGATAAGATTGAAGACAGACAGAACCACATTACCGAGGGGTGCCCAAATATAAGTAACTCAATGATTAGCTATTCGTCAGGGGACCCAAATGAGACAAGTCACAGAGATGCAGCTACATTGAAATATTAATGCTTTATTGTCTCCCTAAAAGGTGACCTCCAATCAAGTATAGTATTTGATACATACATAAGAATGTATGTACCACTTACAGCTTAATAAAATAAGCACCCATCAACCTGTTTCCAAACTATAAGAAGTAAAATTTATCAAACTGTTGCATATGCCTATGTGCTCCTCTCAGCTATCACCTTAGCCTCTCCAACAGGTAAACATTATTCTAATATCTTTATACCTACTTAAACAATATATTGTTTCCTTTCACTCATTTCTGAGCTCAATAAAATAGCATCATACTATTTGTAGCCTTCTGCGAAATGCTTTCTACACTTAATATTATGTTTCTAAGATTCATATATGTATATAGAGCTTTTACAACTGAATATATTACAATTTGTCCATTTAAAGATCAATTGACATTTGGGTTGTTTTTAGGTTTTTGCTATTGCAAATAGCACCCTAGGAACACTGTTGTACATGTTTCCTGGTGCACACACGCAGGAGTTTCTCTAAGGTAAACACTTGGGAATGGAATTTCCGGGTTAGAGTATATGAATATTCAATGCACATTCTCAACTGTGGTATATAAGAAAATAGTTCTTAACCTTGGCTACATAGGAATCACCAGAGACCTTTAAATTATAATCATGGTCCTAATCAGTTCTACTGACTTTTTCTCTAGATTTAGGAGGTAAGGCCCTCATCTTTTATATTTTTAAAACTTCCATAGGTGAATCTGTAGCAGCAAAGTTTGAAAACCACTGATATAGGATGGCAGATTAGTATCATGGAAGCAGTCAATAATTAATGCCTAAAAAATTGTTTTGTTTCCAATTCAGGAAAAGGATGACTTCTTAAACAATTTATCACCTCCCAACCCAAACTTTGTAACAATATTTCTTTATGATAGAAAAGCCGAAAGATAAACTACTCTTGAGTTCCCCCATCCAGAGAAAAAAACTGCAGTGAATAATTTTCAGAAGTTCTGCTGAGTATATTTTACTATAACTGAAATATAATATACTAAATTATATATTTTGATTGATGAGAATTGATCTCTTTTTTTCTAATTATAAAGTTATCATTCTATGCAGGTACAAGTTTGAAAGATCACAAAATAAATTATTAACTGATGTCTTCTCTGAGGAGTGGAACTGATTTTTTTTTTTTTAAAAAGGTATGTACTAGTTTCTTAACTTTAGAAAAAAATTTCTTTAAAAAGTTTGAAAAATACAAAAAAAAAAACCCAAAGGAAATATAAATATCTAATTTTACCATGCTGAAGATTTATTTATATGCACTTCTTTTTAACCTAGTTGAGATCTACCACAGACAAAGTTAATTCAGGAATATTCAAACATTTAACAAAAGATGATAAAAGTTGGAGATTGATAATGGGCAATATTGCCACCAGGAGGTCTGATAGTCTCTCCTTCCCACTCTCAAAAAAGACCAATGATTCATGTCATTCAACATGAATTTTGTAGGGAGTCATTAAGCCCCTTAGGTATATTACTGATTTAAAATTTCAGATTGGACCAAAAGATGAGCTCACTTTGTGTCAAGATCCGTGTGATGGTGAGATTCCAGTATATATTAGGCTAGAACTGCCATTTGTATCTTCTTCCTGACATCATTTATCAAGTGTGCAAAAACTACCAAAAAAGTATATTTGTTTACTAATTATTTTAACTTGTATTACTACAACATATGTATCAAAGTTCCCATAAACAAGGCATGAAAAAATAGATTTTGAAGTATTTCAGATATACCTTAAGATATTCACTGTATTCATCCTCAAACTTCTTGCCCCAGATACTGTTACCTCCTCTTCCCGTACCTGTATTACCAGACAAATAAATGAAAAGAAGTATTTAATTAAAGTTGAAAAAGGGTTCATTTTCTAAACATAAGGGCTAGTTTACATAGTATAACTCTTAAATACAAATAAAATTTGATATGTCCTCTTACTTCCCAAAATTTAACTTTAAATATTAGAAAAATAAAATGTCTCTACAAAAACCAAAAACTCTCCCTCCTTTATCAATGTTTTTCATATTTTAGGGCTCAGTGCTAGTAGCTTCTGCTTAAAAATAAGTTATAAAAACTCCACATTCTTTTATTTTTCTATTTTTTTTGTCTATTCTCTTCTTCACACTGTGTACCCAATTCCCTAGATATTATTGGAATAACTTACCTGTCGGATCTCCCGTTTGAACCATGAAACCCTTGATATTTCTATGAAATATACAGCCATTGTAGTAATTACTGGCACAAAGAGCCAAGAAATTCTGAAGAGAATAAAAATAATGATTGAGATATGATGTAGCAGAAACACATTTAAGATAAGGAACCAACTGTATTTATTGAAAACACCACAAAAGCATATTTAAACTATGTCTTTTTAAGGCAGTACCTTAGACAATGTCACTTCCCTGCCTAAAACATTTAAATAGCTTTCTTCTGCTCTTGGACTAAAACACAAAGTCCTCAACAGAGTCTAACAAGGCCTGCATAACCTGGCCTACACTTCTACATCTCAGAATGACAGTATACTCTTCCCTGCTGCTTACTATGTTAACCCCATCAGCCTTCTGAAAATTCATCTAAAAAAGGCAGACTTTCCCACCTTGAGGCCCTCGTACCTGCTGTCTCTATGCCTGGAATGTTCTTTTTATAAGTCTTTGCATGGAGATGCCTTCATTACGTTTCACACTCAGTTTTTAAAGTATAACTTCCTTGGCTAGGCTTGCCCTCCTTTTAAATAAATCATTTCCCATTATTCTCTATCTCAATACTTCATTTTCTTCAAAGAATTGTCAACCTTTAGAAATGCTTTTTTTCTGGAAATAATTTTTACCCCACCTCCCACCCCCAGCCAATCTTCCCGGGTAGAATAATAGCTCCACAAGAGCAAGGAATGTCTCTTGTCCATCACTGTGTTTCAGATACGGGCAAGACAGTCTTTCACAAATAAATTGTTGAATTAATGAATATACATAGCTGACTCTTTCCTTCCATCCTTGTCATTTAAAAAAGTGAAATAATGTATGGAACAGTTCTATTACCTAATATCTAATGATTATTTACATTTCCTGAGGAAAACAAGCTAAAAGAAAAAGATACCAGCTACTCTATGGTTAGAGAAAAATTATCTACCTTTTCTTTGTCCACCTTTGGTATCAGAAAAGGAAATGGAAATGAGGCCAGAAATTATGATTGGTGGTTTTTCTTGACAATGGTTTTTATAGAAAAGGTTTTTTTATGTTAAGTTAGATGACTCAATTTCAAAATAGTTATCCTGTTACATTAACTCATTTTTCATATGTACATTATGGTACTCACTTCACATGTTTTGGGTGTCCTCTCACAGAAGATTTCTATTTTAATATCACCTACGTCTGTATGCAATGTCACCGACTAAAAAAGAGAGGGAGAGAACGTGAGAAAAAAAATGAGATTTCTTCAAGTGACTTTATGCACAGTATCATCTCCATAACTAGATACTAAAGATGATAAACTGAACAAAAATAAAAAGAAACACCATTACAGAGATGACCTGTTCACATAGTAGCTCTGAGAGATAAGTTGTATTTCTTCAAAATTTATGTCATCAGTAGAAAAAAAACTCCAGAAGATAAATATGAATACTAAGGTAAAATGGTATCTATGCTAAAAATTTAGGAGCAAATATTGTGATGGAAATAATTACATTAAATTTGAATTTTTCATAAATAAAAATATTTTTATGTTAGCATTACTTATTTAAATGGCAATTCACTAAATCATTAATATTTATTGAAAAACAGTGAGACAATGAGCTAAATGAATTAGGAAAAAAAATTTTCTAATGAAGGTGCTGGGGATTGAACCCAGGACCTTGCACATGCTAAGGACGTGCTCTACCACTGAGCTATACTATACACCCACTAAGAAAATGAATTTTACATAGTTTTCATCATTTCCCTCATGTAATTTAATTGTGAGAGATAGTTAAAAGACAATTTCTTTCTACACTAAAGACAACAGACATAAAAAGTGTAAGTGTTCCCAGATCCTAAATGTGCAGAGGTAACCATAGGGCTCTTGCTTGCTTGTTTGTTTAATCTGTTGTTTTGATAGCTAGAATACTCTTTTTGTTGCTCCATTCCAGAAAGGGTAGAAAACTATTCTGAGGCTTCCTTTTTAATATCACTGCTTTTTTACAAAAATATCTAGTAGTGAGAGTTATGACTAGGTTGAACAGAGGGCAGGAGTATGAGTGTAAATGTGTGTGTGGTTGGAGGTGGGGCACAATGCTTTTCTTCCAGTTAAGCTCTAGTTGCCCTCCTTAGATCATGTGCAAAATTGTTCAGTTAAAATTACCACACCTGGCTACACTCTTCCACTCCTGCAACACCTTCTTCCTATCTCTATCCACTTTGTAATCAGTCTTTTTCCATAAAAGGTAAATAGTGTTTTAAGTGAAAAACAAAGATTTAAAGTTATTTCGCTTATTTCTGGTTTTGTTTAGAATCATTTTACACTGTATCCTTTCTCTATCTTGTCATTGAAATTTCCATGCAGTTTTATTTCCCTTGAATTTCTAAAAATTACTTATAATGAAAGACATACAATTCTATAAAACTTACCATTTTTCTTCTGATAGTTTCAGGAAGTACTTACTGTTTGTTACTTTCTCAATTTATTGGGATAAGTTTAAAAATGAGTCTCTACAAAAGAAAAAAAATAAAGTTCATTTCCTTAACTCAAACATGCTCATCTTTTACTAAGTATTTAAAAGAAAAACTCTAGAAGTACACGCTCCCCACTCCGACCCCATCCCCGGCAAGTAATAAAAATCCGGTAATGGAAACGGATGAGGCTATCCTACACAACTTAAACCCCTCAACCTCTTACTTCCCCTGTTCACTCTTCTTTTAAGAGCCTCCTTGCAAGTTCTCTAACAAGGCGGGATATTCCCGCCTTGGGATCTAGGCACTGGGGGTTCACTTTACCTAAAATGGTTATTTTCCTCACCAAGCCTCTGCTCAAAAGTCAGGTCTAACTGACCTGATTAACTCCATTTGAAGCTGCCTTAATTTCCTTTACCCACAACGCTTAGTACTAATACACTATATGCTTTATTGTCTTATTTCAACACCTTACCCGTCCAGGAAACTCACTCGAAAAACAGCACCCTGCAAGCATTTGAGTTAAGTGAATGAAAGAACAAGTGACTTTACACCGTACCTACTTAACCACTTCGATTAGCACAGCTGTTGTTAAAACAGCAAAGATGCAATCGCGGGTGCCCCCTTGGGTCTGTATTTTCGAAACTAGTTTCTTCAGGCCACCGGAAGTCGAGAAGGGGACCCATTAGCGAGAACGCCCCTCGCCTGCTCGCCTCCTTCTTCCTCCCCGCCTCCTCCCTCCTATCGCAAACCAAAAGGACCAGAACTAGGGAGACAATGTAATTTATCCCCACCAGAACACTTCTGACCGTGAAAGGAGGGCTCGCTTAATAATTACACTAGGACAAGAAGCGTAATTCTGAGCAACCTCTAGAAGTACCTCGAAGTACCTCGAACTCAGATGTAAAACGGACAAGTCCACTTCCGCCTGGTTCCTCCCACCCCCGCCCACTTCGCCAAGAAGTTCCGCGCAGGGCCGGATGTAGCGCTCGCGCAGTCTCGGAACTGGTGAGTCTTGGGCGAATTACGCTTCAATGTGGATAGCTAAGGGCTTGGCGGTAGGCTGTGGTCCGTGTAGGCCGTAGTTATGGGGGTGCTGTGGGGGAAGGCGGCCGGGGACGAGCCAGGCGGAGAGAACCGGCTGGCCGCACGAGCGCATAAGGCTCTAGAGGGGACAGGGTCCTGACTCACGGGCTTACCGGCCATGCCACCTGGGCTCTTCATTGTCCTGGAAAAGGCCTGAAGTGGAACGGAGACAAGAGGGCGCAGTTTTAAGGCTGTAAACTAAGCCCTGCTAATGTTTTGTAATAACAGTGCTGACTTGGCCAGGCATTGTTCCACGGTTTACGGTTAAATTCTGCGACAACAGTGTGAGCTGGGCACTATTTTTTCCATTCTTCAGAGGTGGTAACCGCGGAGGTAGAGTAATCTGATACAAAGCTCTGGCTCTGGGAGTCAGTCTGGTTTTAGAGTCATTGTTCTCACTGTGCTCTGCTGCCTCTCACTGTTGTGGTTTCACGCTACGCAGCTTCGTAGGAAATGGGGGAGTATTTTATTATTTCCAACGGTTCGTTTATATGTGACAGGAGATAATTCAGAACCAGCGTGGTGGCCCACTAGAGCTTCACTTCGGCGCTTGCCAGACTAAGAAGAGTCTGGAAAGTAGTGTGGTATAAGGACCCTTCGAAAATCTTCCATGATCCTGGCTCGAGTGGTTGATGGAGGCTCTGCATCTCTCCGAACCGCATATTTAAGTACTCACATTAAATATTAAATATTTTTGCTATAGAAATACTGAAAAAAATGCTTTTCAAATCATTGGGCTGTGAATATTCCATGTTCACAATTGATTATGCTTTCTTGTTATTTTGCATATTATTAAATGCTTTTTTTCAAGAACAATAATGTTCGTAGATACTAAATTTAAGAATGGAGTTGACAGTGTTGTCTTTTATTTTGGATATAGCTGTCTAGAAGGCTGACAGACTGTGTGGGCAGAATACCCTGCAACTTAACCTCCCCCACCTCGTGAGCCAGCCCTTTGTGTGGCAGGTGTTGATTCAGGGGCAGCAGCTGCTGCCCTTTCCTGCCTGGACCCTGCCCATTCCTAGAGTGACCCACTTATGCATCCCATGATTCTGGCTGCTGATCTATAGTATGTTTACTGTTTTTGATAAAGCACTTTTTAATGTCAAGATATACCACCCTTAACTCCACATTCTGCTCTCATGGGGGAATGGAGAATGTGTCAATTTGTGCAGTGAGCATTTAGTGCTGGCCTGTGATGATGATACTGAGATACAGAAAAGAGTTCCTGTTCTCCAGTAGCTTTAGCGTCCTGGAGGAGACAGACAAACAGGAATATAACATTGTAAGAATAACTAGGACAGAAGCAGGTGTGGGGCAGGGAATGGGAGACACTGAAAAGACAGGTTTGTCAAGAAAAACTTTAGGAAGTTGAAGGGAAATTAGAAAAAAGGGTAATACTTAAAGAAGTAGAGAAGGGAGGAGGTGGTTGAAGCAAGTTTGGGGAGAACAATAGTAAGGTTGAATGTGGGCCAGGGAGGAGGGGATGGACGTAAGTGTGTATTATGTACCAGGCTTGTGCGAGGAGACTTAAACATACTAATCCATTTACTCCTTTTGGGTGGCCTGTGAGGTAAATTTTAGTATCTCTACTTTGTAAATGAGAAAACAAGCTTGGAGAGGTTAAATGACTTACCTATGATACCATGTGTAGGCAGTGTTTAAACCCAGGTATGTGTGGCTACAGCTCTTTTGCTCATGTGCTTTGCTGCCTCAGAGGTCTGAGTTTTAAGTGTACATGTGTTCCATTTTCTGTGTTTTCACTTCAGATACTCAGTTTTACCTGATTTCTGTATGTTGTCATCTCGTGTCCGCCTGGTCCCCACGACAGTCCGTTCCCTGATCTGCAGTTCTTCCCGTTCCTTCATGGATTTGAAAGCTCTCCTTTCATCCTTGAATGACTTTGCATCCCTCTCATTTGCTGAAAGTTGGGACAATGTTGGATTACTGGTGGAACCAAGCCCACCACACACTGTAAACACACTCTTCCTGACCAATGACTTGACAGTGGAAGTGATGGAGGAGGCGCTGCAAAAGAAGGCTGATCTCGTTCTCTCTTACCATCCGCCTATTTTCCGACCCATGAAACGCATTACCTGGAAAAGCTGGAAGGAGCGCCTGGTGATCCAGGCTCTGGAGAACAGAGTTGCAATCTACTCTCCTCACACGGCCTATGACGCTGCTCCCCAGGGAGTCAACAACTGGTTAGCTAAAGGGCTTGGTGAGACGCTTCTTGTTCTTGCATGTCTAGTATTTTTCCTGCCAATGCTTTGGCATTTTAGAATGTCTTTCCAATGTGTTCTAACTGCTTTAGGGGTAGGGACCATTATTCTATTTTTATATGATATATTTAAAAATAATCTTGCTGAACTCTGGCAATTAAACTGTGTTTGAAAAATGAAATTTTTATCCTTAATGAATAAGGAGAGCATAGGAAATCTTCATTTTTGACTGAGTTTTGTGATTCCTCACTCATGTGGCACAGTGCCTAGCACTTGGGCAGTCCAGAAATGCTGCTTAAATTAAATTAAAGGCTCAGGCCTCTTTAGAATTTAATTCACATGTCAGTCAAATGGACAGTTTTAATTGAATGCTTACTTATGACCACAGTGAGGGAATTCAACAAGTGTGTTTTAGTTTTATTTTTAGGAAGTCTTTTTAGTTTACTCATTTGGGGCTGAAGCTTTTATGATGATATAATCTGGATTAATGTGGTCAAGCAGATAATGAGCATTTGCAGTTTGAATCATGGTTTACATGAGTAAATTTAGTGAGCAGTCACAATTCTATATGTCCTTTAAAAATTCATGAGTCAGAAAAAAAAATTTCATGAGTCAGTCTTTCTTGTCCAAGTTTTTGTGACATTTAAGAGTCTTCTGGAAAATAATTCTGAAAATAAATTTGATTTTGTATGTCTGTAGTAAATTCTAAATTATGGGAGCTATTGGATGTCTATGTTAGGGATATGTATATGTGTGTGTATTATATAAGCATCTGAAAATGAGTCTTTTGAAAAATACTCATTTCTTGGAAGTTTTGCCCATAATCGTTTATCTTTTTAATTTAAAAAAAAAAACTCCACAAAAACTCCAACTCCTGACAATTTTTCTTCTAGGAGTTTGTACCTCCAGGCCCATCCATCCTTCCAAAGCTCCTGACTACCCCACGGAGGGAACACACAGAGTAGAACTCAATGTTACACACACCCAGGACCTGGACAGAGTCATTTCTGCAGTGAAAGGAATTGCAGGTGTTTCTGTCACTTCTTTTTCTGCTAGGTACAATGTGCTTTCCTCTTTTTCATGTTTGTTCATTTGTGAGGATCTTCTTTATAAATTCCATGACCCTGTTATTTTAGTTTGCAACAAATTATTTTCCCTGGGTGGGTTTACAAAGCAGTATACTTATTTGCATATGGGTTCTTGAGGAAGAAAAATATGAGACCTTTTCAAAACAGTAAAAATGATAAGTAACACTAATTGACTATTTTCTACGTGGGAGGAGCTATACTACACATCTTACAGTATATCTAATCCTCCTGGTGATGTTGAAAGGCAGTTATTTTTCCCTTAGGATATATGGATAAACCCTAGTGATATACTGATGACATAGGTTTACTTTTATCTGTTACCAGCAAACCATGATTCCCAAACACGTGAAAGGAAAAAAATACATTAAAATGCCTCTTATAAGCTCAATCATTTATTTAATTAAGATTGAGATACCAAAATTTTGCCTCCTAGGAGATTTTCTTTTAGGCTAATTTTTCCTAATGCCTGCTGAAGCTTCATAAAAGACAAGTCAAACAAAGCTAGGACTTAATAACTGTTTAAAAAACAACGAAAATGACTTTTTAACAAAACGGAGATTTATATCATGCTACACCAAAAAGTGACTGTTTAATGAGTAGTTTTTCAATGTGGATGTCTTACAGTAAAATCATTTTAAATGTCCTCTAATACTACTGGGGTATTTCAAGAATCTCAGGGAAAATTAGATTCCAGTCATAGATGTTTTTTAACCATCCTAAAATACTGTGTAAATACTGAAATAAAAAGAAAATTATTCTAATAAAGCATGAAAAATTCAAATGACAACAGGTCTTCCTTGTTGCCTCTACTCAGTCCCGGGTATCTTCAACTCATCTTTTCCTGTTTTCAGAGAAGTGGGTACCTTTCCAAGCAACTACAGGGAAATGAAGACGTGAATAGTTTTGCTTTATTCATTGTTTTCTTAATTAAGTGCTGTGCTGTATTTGCCATTTTTAACTTATGTCATAGAAATTTTTCCATGTAATTATCTCTGTTAAACTGCTATGTAGTGTTTCTTATTATAGATGTACAGTAGTTTCTTGAAGCGTTCCTCTTCCTAACTGATGGACATTTTAAAGAACCCAGATGCATATTTAGTTTAACTCCAGTTTCTCCACATTACAGATAATATCTGGGTTTTACCGTTAGGTTGGGGCCCAGGCACTGCTTTTCCCTTGTTTTTTCAAAGCTCTGCAGATGATTCCAATGTTGAAACTATACTTCTAGATTATCTTTTAATGTGTCTTTTAGTTCTAGAATTCTGTGATCATATTTAAAGTTTATGGTTAAATACAAAACTTTCTTGATGCCTTCTTTTTGGAGA